TTATTACATGGAAAAAAAAAATAATATTATGGAAGTCAATGGGAACCATCAGCTATTTGTTTGCCCACATCTTTTAAAATATTTTCTTTTGTGTTGAACAGAAGAAAGAAATCCATATATGTTTGGAACACCTTGAGGGCGAGTAAATTGTGACATTTTCTTTTTTTTTCCTCCATTTTTCTATTTTTCTGGGGGAGGTGGGTGAACTACCTTTTTAATGGCCAAAGAAAAACACATTACTGTAATGCAAAAAGAATAATTGCAAATATATCATGAATATTCAATGTATATTGCCCAGTCAACTGAAACTGCCCATGCCTATCCATGTTAACTCTATTATTTGTTATAGACTCTACAAATTTAGTTTACTGATAGATACCCATTTAATCTTTATGTAAGTGACTTGTCCTTCTTCTTTTTGTAGGACCAAACAGAAATTAACGTAAAATGACCATCTTTAATCAGCTAAACTGTAGTGTTTCTTAAGTGTATTAGACAGTGAAAATAAATCTTTTTCCCCTCTAAGGGACTGCAGGCATTCAAGCATTTTTTTTTTAAAGAATTCAGGCAGATATTAGCATTGAAATCAAAGCTTGTTTGATTGGAAGGACATCCAAAAGCACTTCAATTTCCCATGCAGGGTTGACTGCAATACAGACCCAAACTTGAATCACCCTCCAGAGTGTATGAGGCAATCACACAGCCGCTGGTTTGGTTGATCTGGGCAGGAAACTCAAACACGAGGCCCGTGAACTGTTTCTGAGATACTAATAGCCTTCCAGGAAATTAAACCGAGAGCACAGCCTTATTTATTTCTTAGAATATGTACTCACATACTCTAGACGGTGATATACTTGACATGTAATGTGATGACATGAGATTGGAGTATTGATTTGTTGCTGTGAATATGGCTGCTATGGAAACATTATCTAGTATGGGGCTTTTCAGTTCCAGCTGTGAAAACCCACTGGACAGAATTAACAAGCGCTAATTGATTAATGACTAAATCTGATGTCTTGAGGGTTGAGCTAAAAATATTTTTTTAGGTGAGTACCATTTGAGTCATTTGATGAAGTGCACTAAACACAAAAATATTTTGAAAGTTATATTATAAATTATTAAGACTTATTATATATATTTTTTAATTGTTTTAATTTTTTTAACATTAAAAATATTAATTCAAATATTTCAAATAATTAAATAAATTGTATAAAATAAAAAATAAGACATATTAAAAGTAAGACATTATATTAAATGTTGTTTTTATATTTTACATGAAAAATATTAATTCCAGTATTTCAAATCATTAAATTTTTTTGTATACTTATGTCAAAAATATAGAATGTTACATGATAAAATGTTCTATGTATTGGTTTTTCCACTAGATCATTTATACTTGTATAACAAACTTTAATTTGAATTAAACAGCTAATTAAAAACAGTTTATTAATTTATTCAAATTACAGTTTATTATATCCATGTGGGTTTTGATTTCCCTTGAATCAAGCTTGCCAAGTCAATTTTTGCTCAGAAATGAATTTTAAAGAAATTAGTTATGATCGTTTTAATGAAACAGTCTTTATAAACCTTAAAGGGATAGTTCACCCAAAAATGGAAATTTTGTTATCATTTACTCACCCTCAGGTAAATTAATTGTACACATAAAAAATAAAATAAAAAATAAATAAATAGAATGCTAAATGATAAAATGCTCTGTATATTGGTTTTTCCCATCATCAATTATATAACAACCTTTCATTTGAATTAAACAGCTAATTAAATACAGTTTATTAAATTTATATGGTGAATTAAATAAATTTTATCCATGTGAGTTTTGATTCCTCTTTCCACACCACTTATTTGGTGTACCTCAAATTATAGTGTCATGTTTTTGTCACGTTAAATGACATAAGGAAGAGGAAGTGACATTATTTGGGTCTTCAGAGGAGCCAAGTTGGCAAGTTCTTTTCTAGCATTCAGAATTTCTTGTTTTTTATGCTTGACAGGATTTTATAAAGCATAACATATCCACTCTGTCACAAAATAGACAGAAAAAAAATATTTATTTAATGTTGCTTCTATTTATAAAAGTGTTGTCATTTTGTTGACTCTTGAATGCTAATGATCCGAGGACATACTAACCTTGAAAACAGGAAGAGCAGCAGCCATTTTGGTATGAAATATTCCACAGCCATTTTTATTCAATTATCTCAAAATGACACGAAGCAGTGTACTGTGTACATGCACTGTATGTTAAAAATCCTTTCCAAAATTGAAAAAGCACCTATTTCAGTGTACTAAACCCATGTTAGGACATCGTTCTAGCGTGAAAACATGAGTGCATTTATGTTGACACTTGTGAAAGATGAGCAAATAATGATATGCACCGGCATGTTGAGATGCCTGAGATGAATATCTGTTTGTAATGCTTATGTCATTCATATAATTCCCTCATGATGCTATCGCATAACTCATATAGAAAGATAATCCTCCTCTCCGAGTGGTCTCCAGTCTGCAGGGAGCAGCCAGATGTCGTAGTGTAGACGTCAGAAAGCACTCAAAGCACTCTTTAATCAATAATAATCCAGAGACCACCTTCCGCAAGCCCCTTTGAGGCCTGCTCAGTGATGTCTGCTTCATGAATTCTTGACGTCATATGGAAGGACATTAGCACAGTCATATGGTGGGTTGTGAGAAAGACACTGATTTTCTAAAAATAGATGGTGTGAAACTAGGCCAGGGTGCAGAGCAGGCAGCTGGCACACAGGAAGAGAATACTTTTGTATGTGTGTGTGTGTTTTGTTTCGGCATCCAGAAGCAGACCTTGCAACATAATGCATTTTGGCAGCGTTTCCTGTCATTGCCTAAACCGTCTGCAGTAGCCCGGTGTGCACTATTAGATCTTTGAGATGTCTTTATTCCAGGTGGTGTCAGTGCCTATTACTTCTGTGTGTTCACCAGTGTTGGAGAACTACTTTGAAATGCTATATGTTTCTCACTGTTTAAAGTAGTTAAACTACTGCCAAAGGGGCTCTTTTGAAATAGCTGACTACAATACAAGCTAGTAACAGAACATAACTACGTTGAGGCAATATCTTTTTAAAGTATATTTTACAATGATATATTTTTGAATTTAATGATAGCCCTGTTTATCTTGCACAAAAGCAATATGTGAGTAAAGGAACAGTTAACATGACATTATTTGACTTGAACAGATAAACTGCGGTTCAAAAGTTTGGGGTCGGTGAGATTTATTAATGTTTTTGAAAGAAGTACTGTATCATGTGCTCACCTGTACTGTATCATAAGGCTTCACTTCTTTGACCAATAATACAGTTAAAACAGTGATACAGAAATATTTTTACAATGTAATGTGTGTAACTGTTTTATCTTTGAATATATTTTAAATGTAATTTATTCATGTGATGGCAAAGTTGAATTTTCAGCTTAATTTTCAGTGATCCTTCAGAAATCATTCTAATATGCTGTTTTCGTGCTAAAGAAACATTTATTATTATCAGTGTTGAAAACATTTGTGCTGTATTATTTTAGGATTCTTTAATGAATAGAAAGTACAAAAGAATGGCATTTATTTTAAATAGATATAAGTTTCCTTACTGTCACTTTTGATCAATTTATGAACTTTTTATCAATCAATTCAACTTTTGATGCATACAGTACTTGCCGATTCTTAAGGACTTTGCATTTACATTAAATGCATCTAAAAACTACCCTAGTTTTTAAAGTCGAAAACATAGTGATGAGCTAAGTATTAGCTATAAAGAATTAAAATACTGTAAGAGTCAGTTAATCTGTTTTTTATTTACATGAACAGTCCAAACAAACAGATTCCTTAGAACGAATCAGTCTTTTCCAAATGAGCTACACTATGAAAAAAAAACTACAGCGATGTATAGCATTTTGTCGGATCACAATTCTACTTATTAAAAAAGGAGCTTGTATCCACAAAATCTACACTACTCTTAGCTGAATTATTACAGTATATGATGAAAAGCGAGTGTCTTTTGTGTGTTTTATGAGTCATTAATTCAACTGTTATTTGTTAAATATCACTGAGTTGTTCATGACTAAAACAAATCTTATTATCCTTTTTAAAAATTTGCATGTCTTCAAATCTATATCAAGCTATAAAACAACAATAATCTGCTAAATAAATTAAGAGTTTCGATACCCTACTCATGTCATTTTTATTATTATCATGAGTCATTTTACATGGTTCCTTTCCTTGTTGTGATTGAGACTGACTAACATGACAAACTGAACGAACATCACGCCGACTTGCGTTCAATAAGTTACTTGCATTGCTACGTTTAATTTTGTTTCTCCCTAACACTGGTGCTCACTCATTTAGTAATGAATTGTTATAGGAACTACCTTACAATTATTATTTTGTGCATAAACATACTGTGGTATGGTATTTTTTCTGTATCACTGTAACAAATCTTTTGCAACAATGGAGCAACCGTAAACATTAAAAACCAAAAGTGCATGAATAAAAATGTGTGAGTTTGTGTGTAAAAAAAAAGAAGCAGCCTTGAAGTGCTTTGTAAGTGGAGATCAGTGGAGGAAACATCATCAAGCAAGCACACTGCAGTGCACCGGAGCTCCGTTCTCCTGCTTAGAGGGGAAATCAATAATACAGGCACTTTGCCTCATCAGTCGCCTATGCATCTTCGAGATGTACTCTAAGGTAATGCTTAGATGAGGGTATTTTTGTCTGCGAAATTGCTTGGAAATGCAAGTCCAAGATTCTTCTACATACAGAGCAACTGGTGTAGTGCAAATTACATCCGCTGGAGCAACATGAATAATTGCAGTGCCTCACCTTGAATTTGATTTGGCTGAAAGCATCTGTCTCATGTGGCAGGGATTTTATTTCCCTCCATGACAGCTTTTTGCAGTGTGGCTGGTTGATGATGCGACCTCAAATGATCCGGCAAACTGAACTATATCACTTTTTCATTTCTTCCCTAATGCAGCTCCTCCAAACGTTCGGATCATCCACTCCGGTCACGCATGCAACATTGAGGAAGAGCGCTACACAGAGAGGGTGTACACCATCCGGGAGGGGGAGACTTTGGAGCTGACCTGTCTGGTCTCGGGGCATCCACGGCCACAGGTGAGGGTGTTTACTGACTTCTGACCGGTTCCATCATCAGCGTGAGGCTGCTCATAGCTGGGTGTCACCATAGGACTTCTAATGGCTGCGGCTGGCATATTTGCACTAGATTGGAGAGATAAAATGTCTGGAAATTGAATGATATTAAGAATCTTCACGTTTGGAATCAAATTGCAAGTATTCTTCTAGCTTGTTCTGACTTAAAACAGAGTCAAGGAAAATGGAATAAAAAAAAAGAAAACCTCATACATCCAAATAAGGAAAAATAACTATTCATAAAGTGTGCTACATAGATGAAAATGTTTGGAAATGGAAAATAAATTTGAGTTACGAGACATCCTGTGGTGCTGAAAAATACAATATAGTAGCATTTGATATTCAGATAACTGTGCCAGGCATCATATCAAGTATATTTATTAGAGAGACTGTATATTATATATTATATGATTTTATGATTATGTGATTTGTGTGATAATGCACTATATTTAGACAGAGCTCATCATACAGTATATATAACTTTTATATACATACATTTACACACATACTACCTATATAAGAAATATATGATAATACATAATACATTAGAATATATATAAGATAAATATATATAGATATATGTATTCACATGTTAGTGAATTGCTATGTATAAAATCATGTAAATTAGTTTAAAGGGCACCTATTATGCCCCTTTTTACAAGATGTAATATTGGTCTTGGGTGTCCCCAGAATGTGTCCGTGAAGTTTCAGCCCAAAATATCCAACAGATCATTTATTATAACAGCAGGAAAATGTCATTTTTGGGGTGTGTCTAAAAAAAGAGCTATTTTGGAGTGTATCGCTTTAAATGCAAATGAGCTGCATATTCCCACCCTGTCTCCAGAAGAGGGCGTTGAGTATACGTCTCTCTGCATTGCATATCTACAGCAATAAACAGCTGGTATAAGCAACATAACTGAGAGAGAGAACTGGTGTTCAGCCATACATATGGGAAGCCAAATGCACTGAAAGTGGGACGAAACAGCGCGATGTTACAGAGCTCGCACCGCGCTGACCTGTCATCTGCGCGGATCAATTGACCGAGCTGCACGATCTTGCTACCGAAAGTACAGCGAACTAATCTCACAAGAGTGCCGTTGATCAATTAAAATGCTTAAATAACATACGCACACAAACACAGTGAAAACACTAAGCACTATAACGGCATGACATTCACAAAGGAGTCTGGAGTGATACATGTATATGTATTTAGGTAGATTTTGAGGCGCATTACCTTGAAAAATGAAGGTAATCACAACGTCCTCAGCAGCACAGATGTTGGAAGAAAATGTAGACTCGTGTTCAGTCTTACATCCAAACACAGAGCACCGGGATTGCTTATGAGACATTGTTGACATTACAGCTACTGGAGATCTGAGAAAATGGAGGACAGCTTACTAGGGATGTCAAAATGGCTGAAAAACTACATTTGAATTTTGTACTTAAATATTAGCCATATTTGAATTATATTCGAATTTAAAAGGCATCATTTCAGTTAGGGGGAAAAAAGCTTTTGGCTTCTCTCCTGAGGCCACAAGAGGGCACATCGAGCAAAATATTACTAATGCACATTTATTCAAAGCAATAAAATAACACGACTATCTTTGAAAAAAGTGCATAATGTTTAAAATAATGTTTATAAACCAATTATATTTACATTATATTTAAATTTTGTCATTTAGCAGACGCTTTTGTCCAAAGCGACTTACAAATGAGGACAATAGAAGCAATCAAAACCAACAAAAGAGCAGTAATATGCAAGTGCTATATTAGTATATTATTATAGTGTTATATTTCAATTTCACAAAGAAATGTGCAGCATTTTGTCCAAGCAATAATAAAAGGACACATTTAATTTATAATTTGTCTTAAATCTCATTTTGTTAAAAAACAAAAAAAATCGTGAATCGAATCGTGAGTTGAGTGAATCGTTACATCCCTATATATAATTAATTAAGTTGCTTAATTAGAAACAAAACGGCATCATGTATGTATGTGTACAGTGTACAACTCACTGAGGGCAGAAACTATAGCAATGCAGGGCTGTCAATCAACCCCCGTAGCCCGGCCCTATGCAATGTGATGTCACACTGCATGAGAATCAAAACGGCTTGCCTAGTAAGACTGATTTGGTTTAAAGGGGATTAAAAAATGAGGAATGTGTGGATTTTTATCATTGTAGGGTGGTTGTGTTCACACACTGCCAATGCACATTTATGTCCAAACACCATGTAAAAGTGGATTTTGCATAATAGGTGCCCTTTAAATTAATTAAATTGTTGTTTTTTTATTAATTATATATGAAGAATTTCTCAAATGGTATCTGAGGTACCACCATACAGTATAAAGCATGTCAGATGCTTCGGGGTAAGCTGTGCCATATTAATAGTGAAGATTTACAAAAACGGTTTCACTGTATTCAAATATTATGAATATTATATTCACAAATATACCGATTTGTGAATAATTTGCCAGCAAATAAGAATTTGAAATGGGATTGTGCGTTAGAAAATTGCTTTTTCTCATGTACATTCATATTTTTATTTGAGATGTAAATTAGTCAAATGTTCCCCAATGATTCAGCTTACCCTTCAACATGACACAGCTTACCCCAAACGTGGGGCAGACTTTTTAAAAGTAATTTTACTATTGTCCTATGTTATAGATACTTTAATTACAGCAGTCACCCTGAAATGTTTTTAGCTGTCGTAAAACCATTCTCCTCTACTCACCTTTACCATATCTGTTACTTAAATATGACCAAGTGACAAAATAGACAGGAATTATGGTGCTCCTGTGAGTCCTAAATCAATGTTATGCTTCTCAGCTCAAGATGACGCCATATAATCCTGAATAATATGACATTTTGATTATCAGAGGAAGATAACAACATTCTGTGTTTCTGCTTCAGGCACTCCTGTATGTATCATTCATCTGTTACGCTTCTGGACTCGCTGCAGTACTCTCCATTTCACCCTCACTCAAGTGGTCTTAATTCTCTCAACGCCCCACTCCTCGTCGTATCTTGCAGAGGGCTTATCAGTCCCGTAGCCTGTGTGCGGTTTTAGATAGGCAGCACTCTACGCCTCTCATCTTGGTCTCAGTGCTGCATTTTCAGTGGAGAGGAAGAGCAGTCCCACTGAGTTAGTGCAGGAGAAGAGACGGCCACGAGGGAAATCACTGAATCTGCACGACTGCAGAAGAGCTGAGTGATTCCCCGAGGAGCACTGTCAGACCTCAGAACGCTAGGAAGAGTCCTAAAATCTAAATGTTTGCTAAGAAATCCCCCTGGCAGTGTGGTGTCATAGTTTTGAGGTAAGCCTTCATTTTGCATTCTACACACAGTTTCTGTGAGGAGTTCACATTTTTTTAATGCTCCTGTGACGTTCTTCTCCTCGAATCGAGCGGCGCTGTCCATTTCATTCGCCTCCCTGCGGCCAGGTTCCTGACGGGAGCAGGTATCAGAGATGAACAGGGCGGGTAGTGTGTGATGAGGTACACCCGAAGATAATGGTGCCTCATCACTGTTGCCGTTAAGTGCTAAGTGCATCTCTCCTCAGGTGGTTTGCATCCACAATGGAGTGGTTGGAAGGCCAAGCTAGTGGAGGAAGCTGCCGCCCCATGTGCCCTGGACCTGGAGGGGAGCAAGAAGGTGTATAATACCTGTAGAAATCCATCCATTAACATTCCCATTCATCTTAATGCCAGGTGATTGATGCTGTAGGACTCTCTGGAAGTATGCAACTTGAAATCTGCCATATTTGCTTGCAGGTTTTCAGTTCTAGCCAATCGAGCTAATAATCTGAGCCACAAATGCCGTATAAAATATTTAATGCTGCCAAATGCAAACTGGGAACCGGTACTTACAGTACCTGTAATGAAATGTTAGTGATATATGCTGCTTGTAAATAAAACAAAAACAGTCAGAATTCATGGCTACTTTTGAATGGCCCTCATTAATAGGTGTAGTTATGGCAACTATCAGCAGGTGTGACAAAAATTATAGAGTGCAACAGTGACTGCCTTCTTTTTTAGCTGCCTTTGTTCCAGAAGTATTTTTCCCATAAAAATTTTCAAAAAGAGATGTCTTTGTTTCTGAGATATAAGCCATGAACCAAACCAACTGTATATATATATAATATAAATATAAATATTACAAAAGGTTCAAGCGGTTATTAATGATCCAGAAGGAAAAACAATGCATTAAGGACCAGGGGCGTAAACTTTGAACAGAATGAAGATGTGTACTTTTTTCTTATTTTGCCTAAATATCATATCAATGATGATCAATGCATCATGTTTCCTTCTGGAGCGTCTGTGAGCGTTTGAACTTTTTGTAACAGTTGCATGTAAGTCCCTCAGTTGTCCTCAGTGTGAAAAGATCATACAGTCATTGTTGGAAAGGGTTCAAATATACAAAAGATGCTTGAAAAACAAAGAATTTGTGGGACAAAGATTTTTTTTTAAAGAACAGCTGGGACTTTAACTGTTCAGAACAAACAAGGGACTCATGAACAGCTATCAAAACACAGCTGTGGATCATAGTGTTGCTTTCGTCAACGAAAATTATGACTACATATCGTCGTCAACGAACCTTTATCACGTGACGAAAACGAGACGAGACGCAACGTAAATGCTGGTAATGTGACGATGACTATAATTAAATGTATAATGCAATATTGTTGATGAATAAAAACGAGACTAAATGTGGTTTACAAAATAAAAACTATGCTAAAATGTCTCTTCATTTTCGTTGACCAAAACGAGACGAAACGAAATGTTATAACGTTATTTCGTCTCGTTTAGTCGCGTCAATAATATAATAAGATAACCTTGTTTGAAATGGGTTTGACTAAAATAAAATTTTGGTTTCGTCTATACTACTAGGTACTTACTTATACTATATTGACTGGGTTAAATAGAATTGCATTTCTAAAGGATCATCCAGGTAACAACACGGTATT